CGTCAAAAGTGTGGTGGTGTTGCTCCAGCTGTGGTGGGAGCCGCAAGGGTTGCACGAGCTGCTCCACCGCGTAGTCGACGGCAACGACCGATAACGACCTCCAAAAAAATTCTGAATAAGCCAAAACTTTCGTAGGCCTGTATATAGTATAATCCTAGCTTTGCGCAATTTTATTACGATTTGTGGTGGCTCTACAGCCTCATCTTGTTGACTATATTGAGTTGTTGGGGGTGCTCAACTGGCGATGGTGCTCATCTGGTGCACGGGCACTGTAGTTTGCGCGTCCTGGGTCATTGCGCGTCCATGCAGGTTACATATATAGCATACTGCATGCCTGCACATACAAAATTACATATCCATTCCACCCTCTAGCTAGGTAGAGGCACACGGATGCTAGATATGGCCATGATATTACCCGCCTGCATTAATCGAACGTTGTGTGTTCAAGCTCACACAGGACATTCCGTAACACCAAGATGTTGAATCAAGATCAGCAAATACCTGAGAGTAGTAGCCGGCACCGCGCATTGAATAGTCGCATAAAAACTGAGCTTATTGCAACTCACACTTAGTCGACATGAATAGTACTGACGCAGCCAAATGACTCATGCCCAGCACACTCAGACATAAGCGTTTGGGGTGCCAATATGGGTGCACCATGTCACCCCATGGTCTCCGTCACCATCACATCCGCCGGGTATGGCGACACAAATTCTCCTCTTATGGTTTCCATGTTGAGTTTCTAGCCTGCAGGTATCATTACATCAGATACCACTGTTGTTGAAAGCCCCTGTGCCTCCTACCAAGGTACTGGAAGTAGAAGCAGAATGAAGACACGCATTATTGCGCAAAGAACAATATGTATGCACGGCGTGGAGTATGCATATGGGCCGGATTCTTTGCTCAGTGTCTGTTGCGAAGACAAAGAGACACATGCCCTCAAGCCTCTGCCATCTGGAGATCGTTTTCTAGAAAGCGCGATCCATAACCTATGGCATAACGACCTGCATAATATTCCTGAATGTATTCAACGCAGAGCGTGAATAGGGCTTGTGCTTCAGAGTATGCTTCTCCAACATGGGTATCGGCGCTGACCATTTGATCAGGAAGGTACGAGACCAAGGCCTACGTTGGGCCCCCTCATCCCTCAACGGCGAAGCTTAACTTCCTTCTTTAGCTAGTTTCCTGAATAGCGTCGCTATAGTGATGCGAATTAGAAAAATCGTGGTTTGCATGTTCAGAAACCCCTTTAATGCGCACTGCCTTTACACCCGACGCAGGTTTATACCACTCTTCAAAATCTATGTATAGACGAAATCACATGGATGCAAAAAGGCTAAATTCAACTTCCAAGAGGCATCAACAAGTTCCTCAGCTATTGTGCCCAAGGCTAACAGCAGCGGGCGCCTCCATCCCTAGAAGCTATCCGTACAAGATGGATCATGGATGCAGGATCAAGACACAGAATCCATGGTTATATAGGATATACAATGGAGAGACGAATCCTGCAACATACAGATACATGTACTAATGGATCATGTGATTGGTTGCACACAGATCAAATAAGAATGATTGAATTATACTGCACAGTCTAATACTGAATAACCACAAAGTTTGAACAACTCGATGCTTTTGCGTAGGGAATGCCGCGATAGCGGTTTGGGTTGGAAGCTAAGAAAAAAAAGACTACTATACGCATACCAAAAATGAAGGCTTAAGACCGGACGGGCTTAAGCTTGAGCATGAGCGATGGTTTTTCCCATATAACGTAGCTCTTTTGGTATATCCAGTTCTTGCTCTCTGGGCATAGCTCCAAATCGTAGTGCCACAGTAGCATAGCAGCAATGATGCGCATTTCGTGATAGGCAAGGCTGCCAGGATCCGTCAGTAGATGCCAACACCTTTCTGTCCCTGTGCGATACTTACTTTTTCCCTATGCAGTTGCGTGGCCCAAAAGAAAATGGCTGGAACACTTCTCTCCTATCTGTTTCGTATCCGGTACCTGGTAGCCATCGCTCAGGAACGAACTTGTCGGGATCTTTAAAGTTGAGAGGAGAGCTATAAGCAGCCTTCTGTGCTATCGCAACACGTGTCTGTATTATACAGTCAGCTTGGCCAGACATACCTGAATGTGCCCACAAATGATTGTCCTTACCCCTTCAAGCACCCATTCGCCACATATCTCGGCACCGCCTTTGGGCACCACTCGAGGTAGAGCGCTAGGTACTGGTGGATAGTATCGAAGAGCCTCTTCAAAGCACACATTCAGATATTCCAGACGTGGCAATATTTCGAGTGATAGGTCTTCCTTTGGTAGAGCCCGCAATTCGGTGACGACTTTCTTCATCTTATCAGGATTGGTAAGAAGTAAATAGAGCAGTCCGCTTAGCAAAGTGGCGGTGGTTTCGGTACCGGCAATCATGAAGATTGACGCGTTCGCATGCATCTTTGGGAGAGGCAATTGCATTTTCGGGTTTTCAAGTACAAGCTTCCAGATATCTGATTTGCCAATGTCGGGGCCTTTGGCGAGCCGTTTATCCACGCGTTCGGCCGAGTGCATGAAGTGTTCCATCTGTTTCCCTTTTATAGATGGAGGTAGCAAGATTTTGATCAGGGCCGCTAAGGCAGGGTAAAACATTGGAATCCGCAAGAGGACACCGGCTTTGATACCCTGAAAGACTGCTCGGACCCATGGCGTATACTCGCCCGTATCCAGCATGCCCAAAGTCTCGCCAAAGGTAAGATCTCCCATGATATCGAAAGTTGTAAAGTTGAGCAATTTTACCATGTCAAGACGAGCGTCTTGATCTGCGGCCAAGGCCTAATCAATGTTGGATTTGAGTTTCTCGACATGCTCCTGGATGAGTGGCTCTTGAAGTTTCAAGGCCCTGTCACTAAATGCGTTGGAGAATATCCTGCGGACCTGGCCGTGGCCTTGTGCTAATGGCTCTGATATGATGCTAGGCTCGCCATTCTGTTCATAGACGTAGAACTTCTTCATGTCCTTGCTGATTTCTGGACGTCCTCCCAAGCGGTGGCCAGTGATGTCCTTCCATGCTTGAGGACTAATGTAGCTCAGTCTATCGGGGGCACACCGGACTACTTCGCCATATTTTTCATGTAGCTCTCTGGCCCAGGAGACTTCTGTGCCGTTAGACGTGTGGTAAATATATGCAAGGTTTGATAAGGCGGCAAGTTTAGGGCCAGGAATTATGTACGTCTTCCGTCAGTGGGCGGAAAATGGCACGGGAGAACAGGTGGTTACTTACACTTTTTCAGGGGGTGAAAAAGGACCCTGTAAACGGCACGTAGGATTACTCGGAGAACAAACTGTGTGTATTAACTTTGGTTGAGATGGTATCGAGTGCTTCGTTGGTCTTACCAGCGCAACCAAAGCAGCAAGATAGCGTGGGATGTTTTCCCACGACAGTGTGCTGATGGCAGACTCAAGCTTGGATTGGACAGGCATGATGTCAAGGGTAAGGAGGTATGAGAGGAAGAGAGTGTTGTGAGGGTGTCAAAATCCAAGTTCTGCGTCGACATTTAACTACGATGGCTCGAGTGCACCCGCCTGTCTTGCCCGAGATCCAAGGCCCTGTCCTGGATTCATCATGTTCCGCTTTCCGGACCATGCTGGTCTCGATGACAGCCTCTTGCCGGCAGTGCTGTCTTGCACGGCCATCAATGACCATGGTATTTCTGGTAGAAGCCTACAACGGATGATCAGCCTTTCCTCCGACTGGAGTGTGGGCGAAGCACGCGAACCGTGCGCTGCAACAGTCGTAAGTGATCTGCAGAAGCGTACGAGGGAGCCCGACTGTGGATCTTGTTGCAGCTTCCATGTGTGGTGTAGGTGTAGGACAAGCAATGAGTGGCGCAGTCGTCTGTCGCCATGCCATGCATACTATGCGTACGTAGATGGTGCTGATCCAAAACGGCATATCTTGGCATTACTCAGGGGGCGCTCTTGAGATGCCAATCACCGAGGCGTGGTCCAGCGATAGCCTGGACCCAATGTGCAGATGGCGAGATTGCTATTGGAGGAACGGCCTCGACGAGACTGCGCAGTCTTCTTCCGACATCGTATAGCGGCAGCGGCAGGTGGGCCGAAGCCGAAGCCGAAGCCAGGCGCCGTTTCAGGCAATACGCTCTATACACTCGGAAGCCGGCATGGCTGTCTTCCGTTCACCACCCCCGCTCGTCGTCTTCTGCCTACTGGCCATGTGCATCTACTACAATACCCACCATTAATTATTGAAGGGGCTGGGTTTCTCTCTCGCGTGCGTACGTCGACTTGGGTGATACAAACCTGTTTCTCCTGGTGTGTCGGTCTGTTTCCGTGTCCGAGTTGCTGCTTACGTGTAATATGTCCAAGTAGTATTACGTCTTGGTGCGTCGACATACTGCAAAAAACAAAAAAAACGTCGCCACTGTAGGCACTTGCTATGGTACTAATACTATTTCTGCGCACCAAGAAAAGGGCTCTGTACTGTACATGGATTCCTCGCAGGCGATTGCCCCACCTTCTACGATATTGGCTCAATATCTGTACACTCCCTGGCATTATCATTCAACAAGCTGTGACCACTTCGCGACGGTGCCGGCTAGAGTTACTCCGCATCGGCCCATCTATCACTAGCTACGCTGACACGGTAACACACACCAACTTTTAAGCAGAAATCTTTCATCAAAACTCGTCAATTTTCTATCAGATATAGGGGTAACACGTCGCGAGAAACCGATTTACGCCACCTCTAATGTGTGCAGCCCTCTCGTTGAGGTGCTAGAGGGGGTATTGTCGGTATTCTTGCGACGTGTTCGAAATGCGAAAATCTTCGAGAACGCACAGACCGCCCCGATGACTAATAGGGAGACTACTAAACGAAACCAAAAACAATTAAAAACACC